GATATCATAAGTCGATATCTAGTTTGATAAAGGGTCAAATTAGAATATTAAAAATTAAGACATAAACCTACGATTATTTATGAGTTATGGTGTCAATTTGTAGAGCAATTGAAAATTAATGTTTATTAGGATTCTCATCCCATCAAAAGAGTTTTAAGAAACTCTAAAGAACTCTGCAAATCGGAAGATCACATATCCGCAAATCTTCAGTAATTTCAATGGCAAACTCAGATACGCTTTTATTTTCATTCTCTGAATAAATTCTAATATGAATTTAAGAGGATATAAATTGATGAGTTATCAACTCATATGATTAGCTTAAAATTTTGTTCTTGATTTATATATAAATAGAAATCATTAAGTTATCAAAATAGATTTAACAAAAAATAAACAAAGCATAAAAGATTGGGAAAAAAATAAATCAACGATTAATATTAGATCATGACAAAAACACAAGGGAAATTACACGATTGATATTGGCGGTGGACAGAATTGATTCTAGTAGAATTTAGTTTAGTAGAATTGATTCTAACAGAATTGAGTTTAGCAGATTTAATTTATGTTTGGATACATTTATGTAAAAGTGAGTTGAATAATAAATTTCAGTGTAAAAATAACTCATAATCAATTCTGACAGCAGAAACTACAAATTTTAACTTCAAGTAGAATCAATTCTGGAGACAGAATCAATTCTACTTTTGAAAAAACAAACACCTCAATATTATCCAAAATCAATTCTACATCTCTAGAATTGATTTTGGGTCTTTTAAAAGTGGAACCAAACATACACAAAGTGTTTTGAACTTGTATATTAAATCAAAATAGTTACTTTTTCTTAATTAATTATGGATTAAATAAAAAAATTTGTTTTTTCATATATATAATCAACTTTAATACTCTCTCCTTTCCAAATTATTTTTCATATATGAGTTTATAGTAATGTCTCTCATAATTACACAGGAAAGAGAAATTAAAAGAGTTGAAAGAATGAATAATAAGTATTTATGGATATAATAGAGAAAAAAAATTATAAATGTTGTGTTAGAATTTTAAAGTAACTTATAATTTGGAAAAATTATTTTGCAAAACGTCTTATAATTTGAGACAAAAAGAAGTATAATTGAACTTTAAAAAAAAATAATAAAAAAAACATCATGAGTTACCATTTCAAATAATTTTCAATTGATTGGACTACTTATTGATATTTTTAAAATGAACAGTTTTCAAATATCTGAACTTAGGAGAGTGATTAAACATAAACAAAGAGGGTAGCAAGACCAAGACATAGGGATGTCAATGGGGCGGGGCGGGGCCGGAGGGATACTTCCCCATCTTTTTCCCCGCCATCAAATTCATTCCCCGTCCCCGTCCCCGATCTCCGTCACGGGAGAATTTCTATCCCCATCCCCGTTCCCCGCGGATCCCCGTTCCCCGCGGGGATCCCCATAGATCCTACATTTATTCATTAATATTTTATTTTTTTAAAATGTTTATATTTTCTATAAAAATAAAAAGCACAAAGAATTCACATATTTATTATGTTATTAAAAAATACTAGTATTTGACATTTATTATTTTTTATTAAAAATACTAATGGAACACAAAATAATAATATTTTTTTTATAAATTTCTATAAAATGCTATAAAATTCAACAAAATGAACTATAATACTTTTTAAAGTAACAATATGCCTAAACAACTAAAAAAATCCAACAACATAATTATGCTTAAATACATGAATATTTATTTATTTATTTTTATAAATAAACATAAAGGAAATGACTAAAAAAACCTAATCTAAAATATATATATTAAATTAACTATATTAAAATAATAGGCGGGGCGGGGTCCCCGCGGGGCGGGGTCCCCGCGGGGCGGGGGGTGTATTCCCCGTCCCCGTCCCCGAAATGCTCTCGGGGGAATTTTTCTCCCCATCCCCGCCCCCACGGGGGAAAATTCTCCATCTTTGGGGCCCCGAACGGGGCGTTCCCCGCGGGGATCCCCATTAACAGGTCCAAACTGACATCCCTACCAAGACAGAACTTAAAATTTTCGATATCCTACCACTTAAAAAAATGTCATTATTAGCAATGAAAGCAATGTTTGGACAAACTCTTAAACGAGCAAGAGTTAATTAATAATACCTAGTGCACTGCAGATTTTGGCCGGCACAAGGAAAACCATTTGAGGTATCAAGCAACTATAAAGTTGCTAAATGCACCTGCACATTTGGTTTGTTTAGTACAAGTCCCTGTCAAATTTTGTTTAAAGAATAAGTTGGCCATATACGGCAGAGTAATGGTTTTAACTATCTTGTCACATCATTAGCCAAAGCTAGAATAAATCATAACTTTGGATCATACAAATACAGATTTAAAAGCACATTGATATGATAAGAACATCACTTATTCAGATCAACCAATTTGAGTCAGAAAAAGAATGGCTTCATTTTCAATAGAAGAATTCATTGGAAATGGAGTTTTGAAGGAGCTGCTCCCAAAACTGTTGGATGAGGGATGGGATGATGTGCCAACACTGAAGATTATGGACTCGGACGACATGAACTCAATAAAAATGACACAGCGGCAAAAGGTCGGTTATTCTTATTGACAGCTTTCGTCAAACACGAAACAAGCCAACATTAAAGGGTGTTATTATTATCTTTCGATTATAGTCTCTTTCAGAATGGACTTTTATTATTTAACAGCCCCCGTTGGATCTGACTCCTCTAAACACTCACTTTAGAGTGTAAAGTATAAGTAATATCAACTATATAATATTAATGTTTCTAAGTCTTTATTTTCTGATTGCATAGGACTCAATTGGAATAAGGTCATACCTGCACGATCGCGGATTGATGCAATATGCGGACAAGCTAGAGGCTAGTGGAAAAAGTCTACCAGAGCTAATGAGTTTAAGCAGCATGGATCTTTCTGCTCAGTTTGACATGAAGAGAGGCCATATTGTCCGTTTCATAGACAGAACAAAAGGTGATGATTCCTTCAAGTTACGGGCAATTATGGCTAGGAGAAGAAGTAGCATGATGTATAGACACGAAAGCATCCCAAAGAGTCTTGCATCTAACGGCTCCAATAGTATGATGAGAATGCAAATTAGAAGTAATACAACTACTGATAGATCAATTGAACAATCACTTACTGAGCTGAAGATTAAAGATGGTTATGTGTTTAAAGGAATTGTGGCTTCTGAGCCAGCTGAGCCTAGAGCATGTGGCTGTGTGCAACCTCCTCCAGTCAGTGACCAAGTTGCTCCTTATGCTGCTCTTGAAAATATATCAGTTCAGAAACTAACTCCAGAATATAAAATTGGGATGGAACCATTGGTGAAAATGAAGACACCTCCAATGAAAGCCGCAGAACTGTGGCGAGACAAACCAGCTATTTTCCTTTGTCTCCGACGACCAGGGTAAATTCTTATATTACTCTCTAACTTCCATCATTGCGTTAAAAGCTATAAAAGAAACATTAAACACAACAGTGATGAACAAAACCCAAAAGTAGAACAAAAATATAACTTTAAGATATAAATATGGTCTCATTAGTTCCACTTGAACATGAAAACAGGTGCATCATGTGCAGAGCAGATGCGCACAAGCTCTTCTCCAGGAAACCCATATTTGATGCACTAGGGGTTCAACTATTTGCAGTTGTTCATGAATACATGGAGGCAGAGGTAGTAGCAAAAAAAAAAAATCAATTTCGATAATTTGTTCTTTCAACTAACTAGTCTTTACTTGACTTGATTTATTATCATAACGGTGTAGATAAAAGATTTCTGGCCACAATATTGGGGTGGCGTTGTACTTTTCGATCGGGGTAGGGATTTCTTCAAAGCTCTTGGAGGGGGAAAATTGCACAAGGAGAAGTTTTTCTCGGGATTTTTGCTAAACCCCCGAGCAATTGCCAATTACAAGCGTGCAAAAGCTACAGGATTTGAAAAAAACTTTAGAGGGGAAGGAGAAATAAAGGGTGGACTCTTTATACTAGGGAGTAGAAAGACCGGCATTGCTTACCAGTTTATTGAAAGGAACTTTGGTGATTGGGCACCTCCAGCTGAAGTCATTGAGATTTGTACCCAGTTGCAGGTTATTGTCTTTTTGTTTTCCTGTCCAATATGATTATTGCTCCCCTTTAATTGCCCGACTTTAACCAAATCTTCCTGAATCTCGTGCAGAAACAACAGCAAGGTCAAAGTGTACTTGAGCTGCCTTGAAAGGAAACAGTGACTGCACATACTACACGTGTACTCACTACAATTATATTCCTTGAAATAATTCCATCTCCATTACAATCATTGTACAACTTAGTAATATGAAAATCAGCAGTTTCTCATGAGCCTTAATGGATCAACAGTATTGAATTCCAACGTAAATTGATCCAGTAGCCTAATGTTTTAGCCTTGCTATCTGCTCTGGGTTAGAAAGTGTATGATATATACCAATAGAACAGAATGAATTTATTAAGATACATATTCGTTAAGGGGAATGGTAATCTGAACATGAAAAACTGTCTTATTTAGAGAAAAACAAAACCATTATCTCCAAAGATGCATTTGATGGTTGAAATTATAAGAAAAGGCAACCAAAGTCTCGAATTATTTAGAGATAAGATCTGAAAAAGAGTCTACAAGGTACATGCACCAGTAACCTTAAAGAAGGTTATGTGGAGTTAAACTCAATTCTAAGATGGTATCAAAGTTTATCATAGATTCACCTGACCACTCATATTATCCACGCACCAAACCCATTAGTGTTGGGCGTAAAGGACATATTGTAAAATCTCAAGTGTCGCACTAACTAGAGATAAAACTCTTTTAAATTGTTTATAAAAAACGGGCATCTCTCATCTTAAAACTTGTTTTAAGAGGCTTAGCTAGGCCCGACTCTAAGAGAAATGAATAATTAATGGGTGATAGTGAAGAAGTTTAATACATACAAAAGAACATAATGCTACCCCATGTGCAATGACTTCAATACGCAATCACCAAAAGTCTCCACATGAACACATTCCATCTTTAAACAAGTGGAACCGGGCTGCGTCTCTTACAAGAATCTCTCTCTGGGTGACCTTAGATATATATTTAGTTGCATTGTGGCAATCCCCACAAACCCTCAGATTTTTCACTACTCGTATGGGCAGACCAGGAGGAATAAATAACAATCCAAAGGCAATTGCAAGCTTTTCACTATGGTGATTTAGCATCTTTATTTTCTCTGTATCCTCAACATCATGCAGAACAGAATTCATATCAGGCACATAACCCTCTTTAATCATTTTGTAGTTCAACTTTTTAAGCTCAGAATAAATTTGATCTGAAAATGGATTTGACTTATCATCGGCAGAGAAAACGTGCACTTGGTTCTTGTATTTGATCCAGCTGCATCCCGGTTCCTTTCTAAGACCCATATCTCTCATGCCTTTTCTTAATCTGGCAACTTCGTCCCATTTTCCTTTAGCAGCATAGACGCTTGAAAGTAAGACATAGCTAGCAGTGTTATGTGGATCTAATTCCATAAGAAACTCAGCTGCCCACTTGCCAATGTCCATGTTCCCGTAGAATCTACACGAACTTAACAATGTTGCCCAACCAATTGCATCAGGACTGAAAGGCATATTATTTATAAAAATCTTTGCTTCTTCTAACCTCCCAGACCGACTGAAGAGATCAATCATGCAGGTGTAATGATCTTGAATTGGTACAATCCCATGTTTCTTAATCATCGATTCGAATATTTTATTTCCTTTTTCCACTAATCCTCCTCTACTGCAAGCTGAAAGAACCCCAATAAATGTAACCTTGTCAGGTTTTAAACCATGTGCTAACATGCTTTCAAACAACCTGATTGTTTCGTTGGCTTTACCAAACTGAGCATATCCAGAAACAAGTGCAGTCCATGTGACTTCATCTCTGAAGCTCATTTCACTAAAAAGCCTATGGGAGTCTTCAATGCTACCACATTTACCATATAATGTAACAAGAGCATTGGAAACAGTAATAAAAGAAATTAGGCCAGAAATGAGAGCTCTAGCATGGAATTGGGCACCCTCTTCAAGGCTGGCAAGGTTTGCACATGAGCTAATTACACTTCCAAAGGTGAAATCATCTGGCTCAATCCCATATCTTTGCATATCGCTAAAAGTTTTAACAGCTTCTTCACTATAACCATTTTGTCCATAACCCACTAACATCGCAGTCCAAGATACAACATTCTTGCAAGTCATCTTTTTGAAAACTGTTTCTGCTGATTTTATATTCTTACACTTGCAATACATGTCAACAAGAGCGCTAGCAACAAATATATTATCCTTATAATATGTCCTAATAACATAAGCATGAACTTGCTTGCCTTCTCGTGAAGCCGCAACACCACCACAAGCGGTCAAAACACTTCCAAATGTATACTGATCCATCTCCAGCTTTTCCAATGTCATATCTCTGAACAAATTAACCGCTTCCTTGTCCAATCCATTTTGAGTAAACCCCGTAATCATCGATGTCCAAGAAATCGAATCCCTTTTTCGCATATCAAAGAACAATCGCTTTGAATCTTCAACCCTACCGCATCGCATCAGTCCCGTTATCAGTGTATTATACATAACAAGATTCTTCTCAGGCAACTCATCAAAAACCTTCCTAGCACAAACTATCAACCCCATCTTCGAGTACATATCCACCAAAGGACTCCCAACAAAAACATACGACATAAAACCAAACTTCACTACATGTCCATGAATCTGCCTACCGAATTTAACACAGCCTCGTTTGGATGCAAGTATAAGCAAAGTCGAGAACGTAATCCGATTCAAATTAAACGAACCTTCATTCAACATTAAACTATAAGCCTTTACAGAGTGATAAACAGAACCACAACCAGCATAGCCCGAGATTAGTGAATTCCACGACACCCCGTCTCGTGTTGGCATTTTATTAAACATGCATTCCATCTCGGGGACACAACCCGATTTAGAATAAGCCGAAAGAATGGTGTTCCATGAGTATAGATTCGGGTGGGGAATTTGATCGAACACCCTGCGGGCATACGTGATGGAGTTGAGTTTTGCATAGGAGGCGATGAGATTGTTTAAGAGAAAGGTTTCTGGGTTTGGGAAGGTTTTGATGATGTGAGAATGGAGGTTCTTTGCGTTGGTGAAGTTGCGGGTTTCGCAGCAGAGTTTGAGTAATGTGCAGTAGTGGTTGGAAGAAGCGTGTGACAGTGACATGTATTTGAAATTGAATTGTTATGTGGGGATAGAGAGATGGCGAGGAATGGAAAGGATGGAGGCAATGATAAGGAGATTGGCATGGATTTGACTGTTCAACTTTCGATCATGAATGGTTTTGTTTGCGGACAACACAATGGGATAATATATATGCCGCCAAAATGTTAATTTAAATATAAATATGATCAAATATGTTATTGGTCCCTATAAGTATAGTGATTTTTACTTTTAGTCTTTATAAAATTTTCCTTTAAAGATTGATCTCTACAAAAATTTATATCCACATTATTAGTCTCCAATATTGAAATTCACTAATGGCTGATGACGTGTCTTGACAGGTGGAAAAATGTTTTTTTTTATAGCTGGACACGTTGGTAATTCCCTATTTAATTTTTTTCTATATAACATGTGTATTTCCTCAACCCTAATTTCTTCTAGCCGTCGTGAACCAACATTTTCCTCTTCTAGCCATTGAAGTATCGTCTTCTTCATATGTTAAGTCGCAATTTCGTTATAGTTTCAAGTCTGCAAATATCTTCTTCATCTGTTAAGTCGTGAATTGGTAAGTTGTGTGGGTGTCAAGTTCGTATGATTTCCTATCAATGCAAGAACGGGTCTAACAAAGAAAGATTGTTTTTGGAGATGTCCTTTCTGGAGGACCCCTGACACGTGCGATTTGTTCATATGGAATGAAGACTAAGAGCAAAATCTGCAAATGAAGATGCAAGCTTGATGAACTCAGAGGCCGAAGTTATGGCCTTTATGGACTACATGAAGGAGTTGTACGAAGAATCAAGGAACAAGATTTTGAAGAACAAATTGAAAGTGGAGAAACGTAATGAAAATCTGAAAATGTTGTGTATTGTCATTTCTGTAATTGTCAATGTTTTTTTTCCTGGAAGATTGTAAGTGTTGAGAGTATACATTACATGTGTATTAATGTGGTGTAATGTAAGTTGAGTTTAGTCTGTAACAAATATTTAAATGTAATGAGAAAATTGATTTTCTCACTTAATTAGCACATTTTCTTGGTTTTGGTATGAAATGTTGTGATTGGTTTTGGTTATGTTGAAATGTAACATCTTGGAATGTAATTTGATACAGATTGATCATAAGTTGGTTAAAGTTTGGATATAATTTGGCTAAAGTTTGGACATAATTTGGCTAAAGTTTGTACATAATTAACACATTTATGTTGGTTTGTAATACAATTTGGACATAATTTGGCTAAAGTTTGGATATAATTTGACTAAAGTTTAGACATAATTAGCACATTTATGTTGGTTTGTAATACTGTTTGGACATAATTTGGCTAAAGTTTAGAATATGATTTGATACAGTTTGGACATATATTTGGTACATCCAAAGCAACATAATTTGATACATAAAACTTGTTACATCAACATACCATTTCATAACAGTGCATAATTTGATAAATACAATCTGTTACACCAGAAGATGGTATGACAATTACATCCAAAATAACATAAGTTCAAAAGTGGTACAGTAGATTATTTTACATTACTTAAAAAGCAAATCAAAATAGTACAGATCAATACAAGTGAAAAAATAACATAATATGAAACAATAAATCATTGACTCAAGCCCTTCTGAATGTCATTACATGATTTATTTCCATTTCCTCTAGAGCTGGAGGCCTTCATTGCAGGACTAACATCAATACTTATTAGCTCAATGTCTAGGATATCATCATCATTTAATAAAGTTGCCAATGTGTCAGGGTCTATACCACAATACCTTCTCATTGCCTCATCTGAACTCATAGAAGCTTGTTGTGTAGGATGAACAGTCTGAGTAGCTTGTTGTGTTTGATGGATAGTGTGAGAACCTTATTGTGTAGGATGAGAAGCATGTGTAGATATATTATCAGCAGTCTGAGAAGCTTCTTGTGCATGGTGAGCAGCAGATGGAGTTTGTTTTGCTTTAGCCTTTTTGGTTGGACCTCCCTTCCATTTTGGCTTATCCTGTTAGCACATGGTAAAGTCAGTGATCAATTATAAGTAACTGTAGATATATTTCAATTATAAGTAAGACTTACTCTTTTTTTTTTGCTACTGGAGCTTGGCTAGCCTAAGTTGGTGCATTATATGTTGCATTTTCAGGTGCAGCAATAATTATTGCATTTTCAGGTGGAGCATCATTTATTGTATTTCCATGTACTGTAGCAACTTAACCAGGAATAATTGTAAGTTGTCTATTCTTCTTGCATGTTCTTGTGTTGTGGCCATATTCTAAGTATGTCTTACACCAGTGACTTGTGTTTGATCATTGCCACCTAGTTTGTGAAGCCTCGTCTGGGTCTCTTTTGCGGAGTTTCTCTGGCCTACCTGGACCTCTCTTGAACATGGGTGGTAATATTTTAGGATCACCTGTCTTGGGCCATTTGTTTTTCCCATTGATGAGAGTGATAACTTTATTGTAGCATGTTACATATGTGTCCTTATGATAACACGTATGCACGTACTTGATGGGATCATCAACTTTCCTATGTATGACTGCAACAACATGTCTACATGGGATCCCTACTAACTTCCAAAAGTTACATGAGCAAGTATGCTTGTCCAAATTTACAACAAAGTTATTAATGAACATTACATGTGACACTTGAAAGGTTAATCTACTTGCATATGTTGACAGCCAACTTGCACTCTTTTCTATTTCTCTATCTAACCTCCTAAGCGGTTTAGACATTATTTCTCCTTTATAATTTTCCTTTTTCCCTAAATATCGCAAACCTACCCATTAGTTAATTCCTAATCCACTCAAGCATGGTTATAATAGGCTTGTACCTTTGCATTAATATAGTTGCATTGAATGATTCACTGAGGTTGTTCATCAGAACACCTGACTTAGAGTAAAATGGGAATGCATGCTTACACCATTTATTCTTAGGTATAACATTTACCCATTCAAATGTATCTACCCTTACCTCCTTGATTTTCAGCATCTTGGCTTCATGTGCTTCAAAGTATGTTGCCTTTACTACAACCATCGTGAGATCTCTGAACAGGGTACCACCTCTAAACTTCTTCTTGAAATTAGCATACAGATGTCTTAGGCAAAATCTATGTTCAAACTCAGGATAATATTCCTCAAATACCTGCACTAGTCCATGTACACATACATAAATCGTTATTAAACTAGAATCGCAAGCAAGTTGCAATAACAAAAGAATGTTACATGTACCTTTTGTTGATCAGATATGAAACACCACTTATTATCACCTCCAATGTCTTCAAGAAGTAACTTGACAAACCAGCTCCAAGAGTCCCTGGTCTCATTCTCTACAACCACAAATGCAATAGGAAAATATTGGTCATTTACATCCCTCCCAACAACTATCAATAAAATACCACCATATTTGTTCTTTAAGTGACACCCATCTAGTTCTATGAATGGTCTACATGCCAATTTCAAAGCCTTTTTTGTTCCATCAAAACACATGTAGGAAGCACCTTTCAAACATTGGTTGCAATCCAGGTGTTGGTATTCCAATGTTTAACTTGAATGTGTTGCGTTGAGATGCCCTCCTCAATTCAGCACCATAAGACCATAACAAACTATATTGCTTAGCTGAGTCACCTTCAACAACCTGCCTAGATAACTTCCTAGCTTTGAAAGCCCTATATCCAGTGATTTCAGTAGAAAAACTCAATCTTATATAAGCAGCCACCTTATTCAACCTCACGCTGGAACTGTTTTTCAACTTGTCAACAATTACACTAGCAACCCAATCAGCATTAGCATTCTTATTGTAGAACTTTCTTCCACATTTGTGTTTATGAAACAAAGTTTTAATCCTAAAAGTTGTAGTTCTCATAACTCTGCTGCATAGGAAAGTGTAGTTACACTTATTGTTCTCCTTACAAATAACCATGCACCTACTCCCGTCATTCTTTACAAACTTTACCTTCTTACAATTCAACACATTGTGCTCCAAAATAGCCTTCTTAAATTGTGACAGTGATGAGAATTCCATGCCAACCTTGAATGTGAAATCCTTGGTAAGTGTGTACTCCTCATTAAACCTAATAACTGCATGCATGTCCTCAAAATTTTCCTCTTCTGCCCCACTATCAAGTTCATCTATCATATATTCTTCTTCTATTAAGTGTTCCCTATCCATCTCTGCAGTAGTAAACCTTCTAGGTGTTTCACTTGGAACATTACCTTCAATATTCTCCCTTCTAGGTGCTTCACTTGTAGAATTAGCTTCAACATTCTCCCTTAACCATTCATCCTTTTTATCTTCATCAAAGTCATGTATCCTTTCTTCCTCACTATCATCAAAGTGTATGTCATTCATAGAGTCCTCATCACTCTCGACATCACTGTCCTCAACACCATGTCCCTTTTGTTTCTCCATTAGCGTTTTTCCTATATATATATATATATATATATATATATATATATATATATATATATATATATATATATATATATATATATATATATATATATATATATATATTTCACCATCATAATTTTTCTGCTCAACAACTGTATCTAACATTACTGCATCTTCATTGTTTGCAAATGGTTTCAGATCATTTTCAAGTAAACCATCTTCACTTTTCCACCATATTTTCACTTGATCAATGTTAAAGGATGAGTCCATTACCTTAAGTAGGTCACGTGCTTCAAAGTACGACCAATAATCAGAATCTTGCCCCTTGACTACATATACATCCCCACCCTCGTACCTTAGATCCGGGTCCTTTACAAAACGATCCTTGGTATATAACACCTTAAATAACCCCATTTCCTGTGAATTGCAAGTACTTCATAGAGTAAATTTGACATTACATATTAAAAGCTAACCACAAACCCTAAATTTCACAAGACAAACTATGTGAGACAGATAAAAACAGATGAAATCCTATATATAAATGTGAAATTCAACAACCAAGACAAATTGATACCGCAAGTAGGACTAACCTAGGACCACTGCTTTCGCAGGCGCCTTAGAAATCAGGGACCACAACTATTTGTTTCGATGGAGAAGAACTCAGGTACCATCTTCGAAAATGTAGGGTTTTGCATTTGGGTCTTCTTAATTTGGAAATGGCAACAAAATATTTACTACTTAACTCCACGCGTACACTGTAAAAGCTTAAGATAAAAAAATTAAAAAAATCTGCCTGTCAAGACACATCATCAGCTGTTAGTGAGTTTTAACGTTGGAGACTAATAATGTGGATGGAAAATTTTGTAGGGACCAGTCTTTGAAGGAAAATTTTATAGAAACTAAAAGTGAATATCGCTATATTTATAGGGACCAATAACATATTTAACTCATTTAAATATTATTAGTATTAATATTAAAATATAGATTTTTTCTATAACACTTTAAACATTATTGGTTACACACTAATTTACTTTAAAAATACCAAAACTATTCTTCTTCATATATTTTTTTCAAATTTTTATTTTATATTTTTACCTCTCACAACCATCAACAAACATGTAACTTAGGATCTCTAAAGCATGTGTAATTCTAAAATGGTGAAGTATTGATATCAAATATTCGTATCGTATTCGTGATACTTTATTTATTTTATTTTTTTAAATTTGTTTTCCCAAATATCAATATAGTATATATAAAAGTATTTTAATTTTTTGTTATATTTTTTATTTAAAAAAACTTTTATATTAATATTTTGTTGTGAACCTAATAATTTAATTATCTACTTACATATTTTATAGAAAACTCTTATTTTTAGTACTTATACCTTAATTCTTACAAAAATATTATATCTGGTACAAGTATCCACTTCGAATACTATACTTGTAGCTATACATCATAGTTTACAATATCATGATTCTAAAAAAAGAAGAAAAAAATCCTACTCAATCAAGAATGAAGAATGAAGAATCAAGAATGAAAAATTCCTACTCAATGAAAAATGAAGAATCAACATCAAAAAATTATATTTCTCTGTATACTAGTAATATCATTTGTATGTAGTAAAAAAATATTCCTTGAAACTTAAAACTACATATTTAAAATTAGATTAAGGATCAATTTATTCCAAAAGTAAATTTTATTAGCTTACTCTAAATCATAGTCTTTAATTTGAATTTAATTTAATAGTTAATTAAGTAAAAATATTAATTAATCATTAGATTTAATTTGAAGGCTGTGATTTAAATTAAATTAAAAAAACTTACTCTTGAAATAAGTTGATCTCTCCACTCTTAAAATTAAGTAAGTTAAATCATTCTAAGATTGATAGTAATCTTTCCAATAAGGAATCATTTAATTGGTTATAAAGTTAATAAGATGTTGGCAATTTCAAGAAGAAAATTTGTTTCTGGTCCTAGGTTTGAGTAGGACGGAGTGATACATTCAAATACTTCAACGCCTATTGGATGTGAGAGGTCTTTTAAGCTTAAAATTATATGATTTTTCAAAGGTTTCGGAAGGCCAGAATCATCAGATGTAAGATTTTTGTCCTAATAGATAAATGATTGAGTATCATATTTAAATACAACTGACCGACCATTGTATTTAAACTACCGTGCAATCAGCATAAAGATATAATCATATTCATACTTCACTCTACCATTTTATTTACAGACATACTTGTGTGTTAAGGTGTTAACCTTGCAGGTAGGCTCTGCGCAAATGCATCGAGTAGCTTGCACCACCACATCAAGAACATGCATCAATAATTTTGGTTCCCGAATGGAACAGTGGTGCCGCATTTGGGAATCGACTTTTAATTCCTATGAATTTACACAATCATATCTTTCTTGATTCAATCAGATCTCTCATGATTCAATTAGGCCTCTTTCAATTCAAACCTTAACCATTTTGATAAAAACATAAGATGGAAGCGGCTTCAAATTTCATTCCCGAAGATTCTTCAAAATTCTCCCAGTCAAGATCATCTTCACTCTTCGCCTTAGACATGATCGATGAAGATCCACTCAAGTAAGAAAAATATCCAAAGGGAGGGTCTCTTAAATCAACATATCTAAGTGAGAAGCAAAAATGTGACAAACTCATCCTAGTGTTTCAAGACCACGAGAAGTTGGACGAGGCTCCAAAGGCGACACTTTCGTTGATCATTATTGCTACCATCACTAATCATTTTGTCCTAGAGATCCTATTCGACGAAGGAAGTTCCTACAGTTTGATATACTTTAAAATCTTCATAGAATTGAGATTCGAAGTGTGTCACTTCTTCATATATCACAACGGTTGTTTTGTTGGACCGTGATGATATGTGAGTTAAAAAAATTAAAGACGTCTAATGAATATATATATATATATATATATATATATATATATATATATATATATATATATATATATATATATATATATATATATATATTATTTCGGTTGGATAAGTGGTTGTAGTAAGAAATTACTACGAAATGTGTTTTATTGTAATAGTGCATCCATTGATCGGCTAGTTGTGAGTAGTAGACGAGACCTTGGCATTTGCAGAAGCTTGGTTCTCGCTGCCTCTGCTTGATTAGGAACTAGAGTGGGAATATGGGCTTGGAGCGCAAAAACTATTTTCCTGACCTTTTTCTTCAAAAAAAGACTCCTAACATACGCCATGGTGTCTGCAAAAAGAATAAATACAATTAGTAGACGTCAAAGAAATATCAAAAGTAAGTATAAAAACAAATTTCCCTTCCTCACCCAAAAAGTTCTTTCCTTTCCCGAGCATCACCTGCATCAACTGTAACATGGGTATTAATAAGGCGCATCTCCTACGTAGAAGGCATTTACCTTCTTCGAAACCCATATGTTTCCAAAAGTCTATCAAATCCTCCTTCATTAAATGCTTGACGAAATGAAAGCATCCTTTGCTAAAGGTGGGAGTCCTTGGAGGTGTGTGCCATAGAGAATATATTAAAAAAGAGATCAAAGGACGGTCCTTTGTCCCTGTACTTACATCAGTATTGTTATACTTAAGTAAACGTCCATGTTGTTGGTGTATCTAGGAAGGGAAAATGTTCATATATCTCAACATCCCATCCTCAAACCCACTGAAGTGAAACTTGAGTCTCAACCGAGTAAAGGCACATTCTTAAAGGGGATAAAGCATTCATAAAAAAGGTTGTAAATCCTCTTGCCAATATTAACATCTGAATCCAATCAGTTAGAGAAATGACTCACTTTTACATGAGCGTCCACCAGCTCCACTAAACATACGTGTCCCCGTCAAACCATTTCCTTCTGACGGTCATGAAAAAGGTAATGTCACTCAAAAACTACATTGTTGTTCTTAAAAGTAAGATAATCCCGAATCTTTATGTCATTAGAGTCCTGACAATGTTTCGTCCTAAAAGTATTGTAAAAATAGTGAGTTCGTTGCTCATCTTAGGCCGCTATAGAAACATCTGGATCCGGGTAAAGACCTGGTGGAGGAAGCAAGATAGATAACCACCTCACTCGAATCCAGGTTGTTGAAATTCCCCTCTCCATCTTCTTCAGAAGATTCATTAGTACCTCCACGTAGAAGCATTGAGAGGTTTGTCACCATTCTCTATCGAAACCCCTATAGACTCAGAATTATCACTAAGTACGATAAGGTTGGGATTGAGACGATCAATTTATAAGGGATTAGTATTTGGGACATCTGAATTTTCACGCATTGCTGATAATGAAGAATCTCTACCATTAGGCTTATTCATTATGTTCTCATGAATATTTTTTATGTTTTCCATAGTGAAAGGATAAGTACAATAGAATATGTGTTCAAACTTTTCAACTCTCTAACTCTTTGATCTCGTGGTGTTACGAGAAGAAAAATCTTGTGGTATTGTCATCATGTGAGGCTGAATCTTGTAACGTAGCATGTCGAGGTTTCTAGTTGCAATCTTTATTTGAAAAAAATAAAGAAGTGGAACTCATGGAGGACAACAAATAAACAATCAACCTTTCTAAAAATCCAATAATTCATGGGAGGAGGAATCACATAGAGACAAAATTTTATTTTCTTAGAGATCGAGTAAGCAAGGATGAGATCAAGTTTTCGCAAGATCAAGTTGCATATGTCCTAACCAAGTCCTTGAAGATTGAGAAATTCATGCATATGAGAAAGATGTTTAATGTATTTATTTAACTTATAGACTATGAATTAAGAGGGAATGTTCAAACGTAATTCAAATAAGTGATTTAGGTGTTTTACTTGCATTGTGAGTTACAAGTTAGTTAAGATGCATTTGCCTCATTATTGCTTTGCAAATCCAATTCATGAAGTGTATAAGTATTTGCAATGAGATGATGAATGATAAGTGGAGTGTATAAGTATAACCAATTCAAATCAATTTTCTCTCTTCCTTTCTTGTGTGTTTAATAAGTTCAACTCTTTATCATCTTGCTTGCACCATTTGGGATTTTTGTTGTCTTTTAAGTGCTTGTTAAATTCTACATTGAGCAATTGTAGCTATATTACAAACTGTATCAATTATGTACATAATAAGTTTATAAAACAATCAAGTAAACCTAGTAGAAAGAAAATAACTTCGATAAAACTTTCAAACTGCAAAATATCACACTAAATCTTAACATCACTGTCCAATGACTCCAACCATCACTTCTAACTATTACTAGCATTATGTAGAAACTAAACGATAACTGTAAAACCGAAATTAATAAAGGATTGGTGTTGAGGTAATTTCAGTGCTTGGCTTCTTGCAATGGATTGACCTGATCTGGCTCTTTAAATTCTCCAGTCGAGGGTGTGAATTGTGGTTCCACGGCCGGCCCAAGTATATCTGATGAATTAGCCATGTTAGGTAGAGACGAACGAATCAGTACTGGTTGAGATGGATGTAATAATGGAGGAAAAGTCATTGGCATTTCTGTGAGAAACCCCAGTGCAGGTGACGGAACAGGTCGATGTTGAGGAATCTGAGAAAATATTCAATTGTATAAAGGCCAGTCAGGGAAATATAGATAATAGTAAGCTTTTAACTCTCCGGTATGCAAATCGATTAAAACCATACCTCTTTAGGAAGCAGACGTTCTATATTAAAGTCCACGTGTGGATTCACTGTTGCGAGTTTCATTGATAAAAACTGTCAAAAGAGAGAAAAAGGTGTCAACTTCAACCAGGGAACGCAACATTATAACAGTCAATGACGCTAAAAAGGAAGTTCTACTGGAGCATATGCTGATTTCGCCAATGATGTCAAATAGCAGCAATCGTGGAGCTAGAGCATAGCAGAGTTTGAAAAAAACCGCTATTGTGCCGTGATACGTTATTTAGTACAAAGTTCTAAAATAGAGCTATAGCAGCACTATAGCATTGTAGCACGGGTGGATTTGAACAAACCATTGTTTTCGGTGACTAACGAATGGCAATGCTGAATGGAGCAGAAATACAAAAAATAGGGGGAAATCAGTTGGATGATTTTATAATCACTGGTTAGAAATATGATCTTATCCATACCTCAACTTGTTGTTGAAGAGACTGTACATAGTTTATGATTTCATCTAGCATCAATGCCTTGCCAGTGACCTGTAGACAGAAATAACTGTGATATCTCAAAAGAAAACAATACTCGAAATCCTCGTATGAATATATAAGGTAGTGAAATCTTCCGGTCTCAAATCTAAAATGTACCTTGCTACATCCAGGTACAAGATCTTGAAGAAACTTCATCCTTTCACTGATCTTTTCTCTCCTCACCTACAATTGAAATCCAAATAATTTGAAATCGTGCATCAAAACAATTTTTTTCTCATCGCATAAAACTTTTTATAGCATCTTACTCTCTCTGCCAGGCTATGACTATTCGTTGCTTGACCACGGCGAGCCCTAACATGTATGTATCCCTCGTTAGGCGAATCAGAAGCTTGAGACCCCTGTTTGGCATTCTTCCCATAAGCTTTGGTTTTTGAAGTTGGTTGCTGTTCTCCCTTCTGTCTACTCTCCTTTGCAGTTTCTCTTGGTAACTCAGAAGTTCCAATGGCTTTATCACTATCACCATCCTAACACAAAACAAATTCACATGGACAAGGGGGGAAATAGTATTAGCCATGGTTATCAATATCTTACTAAACATGCTAGTTGTATATTGATTTGATACAAAATAACCATGGATAATGTATCTTATTATTCATAATAAAATCTGTTTCACAAATCAGAAATAGATATTCAGATTCAGGTTTTGAATCTCAATTTGATAACTATGGTATCACCTACGCTAAAAAAACTCAAAGAAACATACCTGCTTACTTCTTTTCCTTTTCTTTGGGTTTAGACCTTTAATAGAAGGTTCTCCACTTGTACAATCCAACATTTGGGAACCATCATGGCTACCAACGGCAACACCATCATCACCCTCACTGCCTGATTCAGCTCTATCAACTTCATTACAAGACCCTCCAAGTGCTTGCTTCCCTTCATCTGGAGACATCACAGGACAATCACTTCTTCCATCATTCAGGAGTGGACTTCCATCACTACCAGTATGCTCAACAAACTGAGACACATGTAGAGCCATGGATTGAGGAATCCTACACGAGTTAACCATATCTCCAAAACCCCTGGCACTAAAGCAAGACATTCTCGCAGCATCAATAAACTCAGAATCAGTTGGAAACTGAGACAAACTTTGAGGAAACATGTCATGTCCATTAGGTAAAACACAACCCTTATCCATCACAGAACCAGCAAGGTTCCATCCAAATCCTAGTGTTCTACCATCATCAATTTCACAACCAACTCTTTCAAAACTTAACCCATCTTTTCCATTTCCATTACTACGGTCATTAAGATCACAAAAACCAAAGCTTTCAGAATTGGAAGCAAGGTCCAAAAAGTTAGGACTATATGAATTCACCATTGAATTAGAACATGAAGGAGAACAACCCATCATAGAATTTTCCATAGAAACCAAACCCATAGATGAATTTGTAATGTTAGCACTCACAAACCTCCAATCCAAAGGACCCTTTTTTCCATCCACCTCAAACTCTTCTCTCTCACTCATTTCCTTAACATGTATATACCAAAACCAAAGTATCCACCACTAGCTAAGAACTCAAAACCAAAATGAAAAATGAGACAATACCCAACTCTTGAAAAGTTGCATAAACACCAAAAAATTGAATTTTTATATATTTACTTCAAGTTTCCAAACAATGTAGTACTAGATGTCATGTCACACGAGTTTAGCAGCAGAGAGAGAAGAACAAGAAGGTAAAAAAAAGGTTGTTGAAACTTGAAATTGGTGGGTGAAGAGAAAAAATGCGGTCAATGATGAAAAGAGAGCCTTGAATTGAGTATCATAAATAAATGGCCCCAATTTCAAAATTTAGGTCAGAATGTGCAGAAGGGAGAACAGTTAAGAGACAGGGTAAAAAGAAGCAAAAGTGAGAAGAGAGAAACAGTACCTATTTGTGAGTTGAGGCTACTTTTGGCACACTATTTCAAGGTTTTTAAGATGAAAACGTTGTTGATTTTGGGAACTCTCTTTCTGTTTTCTTGCTATGGAACCTGCCATTTACTGCCACAAGAGAGAGGGAGAGAGAGAAGAAAGGAAAGAGCACATAACCCTACATTTATACTTACCTTGTGTAAATGCCAAGAAGTAGATGGGTAGAATGAATTCCATAATTTAATCTAAACTAATTTAACTAACTAACTTTAGATATAAATTTCATACTGGATCACTGTAATCATATTATTATATTTGATTTCACAAGTAGTTTAGTGGCTTCAAACTCACCTTTAAAGACAAAGGAGTCAATCGTTACAAATTCGAACTCGCAATCTTGCGTTTGCGTTTGATATGTACAAGTATCGATTGATCTATCTTAACGGAAAATTATTGAATAAAAAGTGTAAACAAAAAAGAATGGGGATAAAAAAGAACTTATCAAATATCTAATAAAAACAATAATTAAATATTTTTAAATTATCTTTAAAAAACTTTATGTTCTGTTTTGGAATTAGAATTGGATGTATTATGACAAGTGACGAATTCTGAATCGGTGGTACTGATCTCTGATATGGTGGGACGGGGTGGACCTGCAAAGTTAGCACTCTAATGTGAAAATTAATTTAGAATTTAAGATGAGTGTAGTAAAAGTACATATTAGAAAGTGTATCTTGGATATCTCGTGAGATGGCTTTTATACTTTGGTCATTTTGAAGTTGATCAATATCATTTTTGGTTTTGGGCCTTTGACTGACCCTGAATAGTTACCCCCAAGGCTTGTCAGGAGTTAATGAGCCAGAGAAGTCTTTTAGCAATTGCGGATAACCTTTAAGGATGTCATTTTCTTCGAACCGGAAGTGGAAGCATCCAGAGTCAGTTGAAAAAGTAGTGAGAGCAAGCGCATTAAATGTCTTCCCATTATTGAAATAGTTCGATGTTTTTTCTGACACGTGGTTTGTGGTTAGTAGTTAGGGCATGAAGCTACTTATAGTGCACTCGAGTTTGTTTATGTTTCCAAGGAGAATATAGTCGTTGATTTTGTGACCTCTCACTTCTATTGATATGGCTCGTTGTTTGTCTTCGCTTATAAATAAGAGTTGTTGAATGTTGATAAACTTTTTGCAATCTTTGAAAGTCAGTTTTCATTTGCAAGAGTTTTCCTTTCTTCCTTCCATGGAGAATTTATTATAACAATTGTAGCTCCTTACTCAAGCTTCCATTTCTCCTTATTATATTTGTTTTTTGTCTGCTTCGCCTTACCAGGTTCCTTCCTTACCTCAAGCATTTACCTTTAGCATTTCATGCACTTTGATTAAATCGAGTGATAGTGATATTAGCTTGACCAACGATTTTGAGAATGATGTATTTTCGGTTACGAGAGCATGAGTATTTTAGGGCCCAAACCATTCCTCATTTGTCTATGATCGTCCGGGCCCTTGTTCTACATTTATCAGATTATTATGATTCAGAAAGATTGTTAATGAGTTATAAGGATGATGGAACTTCCTCTAGGGATTATTCTTTCGATGTCATCTTGTTTGATGATGACATTGAGAAGGATCATAAAGCTACTTCCTTGTCACATTCTTCTGGTGCGATGGGAGCTTCGACTTCTCCTGCTTTATCTACCTCGAAAATGCAGACCGTTAGACTGAGGATAAAACATGTCAGAGATTTCATTCAGATGTATCAGATAACCTATAATCAAGACCCGACGATGCTGACATCAAGGACTATATGGAGTACAAGGGTTGGTCGAATATGGTTTATTGGCTTAAACTTGATGAGCATTTTAAAGTTGATAAGTTATCCCTAAAAGGGTGATGTTGGTAGAACCAACTGATGCGATTAAGTATAATTAGGTGGCTGTAAAAATAGTAGGGATCTCATCTACTTTAAGTACTAAGGCTGCTATAAACACAACCAACATTGTAGTCGATGATGCTTCAAATTGGTTGGTCCTCCCTATGGACTCAAAAAAATGATATGCAGCTCCTTGGATGGGTGTTCAGTTCCATTTTATGAGTATATGTTCACCAGGATGGGTTGGTGGTTGCCATTGTCTGAGTTTGAGGTGGTCGTACTGAAGTACTTGAAGGTTTCCCCCTCTCAAATTCATCTGGGCTCTTGGGTCTTCATTAAGGTGTTCCAATTTTGAGTTGTGCACATGTCTTAGAAATTGTCTCAATGGTTGTTCTTCAACTTGTTATACAGTTTGCACACCTCCCAGGATGATATCCATAATCAAGGGCTTATCGAATCTCTCCAAGCCATTCCCTTGTTTAGCCCCTTTATTGACGATTAGGGCGATTTCTCGAGGCGTTTCATGTTGGTTAGGTGTCATACTCTTGAGGCCAATCTTTCCTTCTGTTCTAGCCTAGTTGACACCTCTTGTTATTGCAAGAGCAGGTTTATGAAGTATTGGTCCTAGTCTCATTTCCACTATACAACTCATTCCTACAACATCAAGTTGGATTCTCTCTCTGCTAAAGAGGTTATGATGAAGGATGATTTGGAATCCCTATATCAGGAGCTTCTTTATGAAGAAGGGTTCAGCCACGAAGAAGTGTTGTCTTCTCTGAAAAGAAAGAATCTAATTGATATTTGCATTGTTATGAGTGTATGCGATCAAGCGGAGAGGAAAGAATTCTTTGGTAAGGACGAAGTCATAGTTTTTACATGTGATTACACTTTTTAGACAAATTGGATAATTTACATATGGTTTTCTCTCTTGCCTTCGCTCAGGGCATCACACCATATTTTGTTGGCCAGACCGTTACACCACCCCTTACAACTTATGCACCCTCTTTTATTGTCGAGGCTATTGCAACTGCCTTCAAGGTTGGTCAGCTTACAACTGTTGTTGTCGCTCTTTTTATGGAAGAATAACCATAACTTTCTCTTGCTCTGGTGAAGAGAGGTCGAAACCAGAATCAACATTCCCCTTTGGAGATGACACAAAGATGATAAAAAACCACTTTCTCAAAAGAAGTTAGCGGAAGTTGAATGCCCAACTTCCAAAAACTGCAGGAGTAAAAAGGGATAAAACGCCCTTCGAACTTGTGGAATATCCTTTTTCTCAACTGGAATCGGTATAATACCTTAATCAAAGGAAATCCCTATTTTCAAAGGACCAGACAATACTTCTTTCCCGTGAAAGAAAGTAGGTTAGTTGGCTAAATACTATGGTTCGACCCATGAGTAATTTCCCGCTACAATCTCTACCATCAAACTGGTTAGGCAAGCAAAGATCTAAGTTCACAAAACAAAGTGGGGTAGTATGATGAGAATGGAAGAGTATGTGGTAACAACGAAAAAGAGGAAAATTGAAGAATAACCTTTAGCTTTTTATAGGAATGGGCAATACGAATATCAATAGCTCATATTGAATAGTGAGAAAAAACTCAGAGGGTAATCAACATCTTGTCCTTCAATCAACACAAGGGTAAAAGACGCTTAATTACCCTAGGTAGGGTAATCGTTCCATATTCTACATACCTAGGGTGACATGTTAGCAAGGAGAAGTGACAATAGATAAGTGACAAGAAAACAATAAATGTGCTTATCCCCCACTACTTATGTGACTGTCTCTAAACATTTTGATTTTAGAACGAAAAAGATAAATCTTCAAAAAGCTGACCACAACCACTAAAGACTCCCCGGTATCTAAGGCTCATGGTAAGTCTTGGGGGCAATTGTTTTGGGCCGACCATATTCAACTGGGACCGACCACCCTGATATAGCTCGTTCTGAGTCACAGTATCTTGATCGACTACACGATTAAGTTTCTAAAATCTTCTCCTTACCATGGGACTATCCTATACCTTGTTATAGGGGATCTACACCTCATGAACGTCCAACGGTCTTCCGCATTCCATAGTTGAAAGATAGCAATGTCGTTATTCCTCTCCCTTATATATATATATATATATATATATATATATATATATATATATATATATATATATATATATATATATATATATATATATATATATATATATATATATATATATATATATATATATATATATATATGGAATGACGTCATCTCAAGTAAAAAGTTTCAAACACATTTTAAATACTCTATACTCTTTCACATATTGTCTTGAATGTTAGAGTATTAACTTTGCAAGTACACCCTACTCTGCTGCATCAGAATCTCTACTCCCCTACATCAGAAACTCTACTATGTTGTATAGCGATAAAAATGTTAAGACTAATCCATTTGATTTACTTGACTCGCACAAATTAGATAAAAATTGCCACCGTGCTTTATTGTTTCCAAAGGAATGGGAAAAGAGCGAATAACCCAAAAGAGAAGGGGACAAAATCTAAGTTCGATGGTTGGTTATGCAAAGGGAAGGTATTAACACCTTAAACATATATGGTACTTATTGTACCCCAAAATTTTCCCTCTCCTTTTTATCAACATTTCCCATCACAAGGCCTTTGGAACTCAAGATCAAGCTAGGGTTTGCTCAGCTCAAGACACCTCATTGCACTGTTGACCTAAATTAGGGTTTGAATTTGCACAGGGATGTTTTGACTTACAATGCCCAAAGTGACTTTCATACTTCATGTTGGACTCACAAGTTTGTCCATACCAAGTTTCAAGCCTTGAATCAAATTTTTGCCCAGTCAATTGGACAGTTGACCTAGAAATCAACTGTATTGGAGAAAAAGTCAACTATAGCCAATTGACAGTCAAACCTCATGAATTTTGACCCACATCAACATTATGAACTCATGTGAACCATTTGATCAAGTTTGGATCACAATTCCACCAGAAATTTGATCAGATCACCAAAAGGGCAAAATGGTCATTTTTAGGGTTTTGACTGTGCAAAGGCAATTTTTGACTGTTTGACCCAGCCAATGGCAAATCAAGCTCAACCATGGACTCAATGACTCAATGACATCATCTTGACCCATTCAACAAGTTCAAAAGATCTCAAATGCATAGGATTGACAGATGAATTTTTCAGCCAACTGATCAAAATTTAACTGTATACTGAAAAGTCAAACTTTGACTTTTTGGTCAAAATCAAGTGCCAAGGGTCATTTTTCATTAAGGCGTGCCAAATTATGAAACTTGTTCATCAAGAAACCCAAAAATGCAAATTAGGGTTTAAAATGGAAAATTTTCATAACTTAGAAATTTTCTAAGTTATGAAATTTTCTTATTTTTTCCTAACTTTGTCCCACTTTTTCACCAAGATGCAAATGGATTAAAATAAAACTTGCAACATAAAATTTATAGTCCATCACAAAGTCTACAACTTTTATTCATAAAGTTTTCTCAAAAGAAGCTTGTATCTCAAGTTATAATTTTTGGAACAAGGGTACCTAAAACTTTTAACTTAGAGAAAATTTGCCCTAATCTAGGCAGGATTTGGACCCATCTTCTTGGCCACTTTTCACATAGTTCCATTTGGAATTTCAAGTTGCATTGCAAAGATGGATTATAGTACATGTTCCAAGCTTTCCAAATTGTCCAAGAACTCCTCAAACACCCTTGTGGTTAGAGAGAATCGAATGCTTGAAGTTGGCAAAAACTCACTTTTGTCCATGGCCAATACATGTTCATAACAACTTGCAATTCTGATCTAGCTAGCTTGGTTTGACATTACAGGCCTCAAAACCAATTTGCACTCCATAATTTAATGCCAATCCATCAGTCTAAGCCTTTGTTTTGTTCATTTGGACATTATACACAAGATTAAGCCTTAAGTAGAAAAAAGCAAATTTCCATTTTTGCTTAAGTATGCTTTATGTCAAACCAACAATCCTTGAGCATTGGTCCAAGATCTCTTGCAGCAAAACAAATCCACAAATCAGAGGTGCCAAGAGCAATGTATGAAAGCATATTTGATAGCCTATACAATCCTGTAACTTCACTTCCACATTTGAACTTCAAGTAGAGAAAACTTGCAAAACATAAGCAACCTCTCATATCTGTTAACACAAGCTTAGACAAACATTGTAGACAAGTTCCATACCTCCCAACAAGCCTAAAACACGACCCTTTCATCACTCAAACCTCCTCATACTCAGAACCACTGTTTTTCTGCAAAACAGGGCAGGTTCTGCATTTTGCAAGCCACAACAAAATTCCATCGTGCGTTTTGTCCCAAGATAGTTCAAACACCTTCCAATCAACTCACCTGAACTATCCCAGGCCCCCATTACAAGTTGTAACACCTCTAACACACTTTTCCATTTTCATTTCAAAGCTCTGCAGGTTGAGTTATACAGCACTATTCAAGTTGTTTCAAAGCAAGCCAAGCATTGGAGAAGCTTCCTTGGACCTCAGGCAAGCTCAAGAGAAGCTCAAACACCATTGAAGGTTGCTGCATTGTCCAACTCGAAGTCAACTGAAACAAGTATTTCATGGACTTCTATCTCCCTATTTAGGAATCATTAGGCTTAGGTTTGTGAATAAAAAATGTATTCCTCATTGCCCTTGAGCTGTACATATGCATAGAATTCATTTAAGTTAACTGAGCTGGGAGAATTTCACTCATGAACTTTCTGAAAAAACTAGGTTAGAAATTAGGGCCAGAGAAATTCTCTCTGGTCTTTGAGAGTTAATCCAAGTTTTTTATATGGTTGAATTCGTTATTTAATTCTCTACAATGTTCATGTTATGAGTTTTGTCAAAAATCAAAGAATCAGGAGATATTATTGGAAGTACAGAACGTGTGTGTTGTTTGAAACTGAGGAAGAAGATGAAGTTGCTTGGGCTGGGCCTGAGTTGCTTTTGCTTTCCACACATGCATATTCAGTTTGCACCCCCCTGACCCATTTGCTTGCATATTTGTCATTTTTTGCATTTTATTTCATTTTTTATTTTAATATTTGATTTTCTAACATAAAAAATACCTAAAAATTATTTTCATAAATTTTTATATTTATTTGGAATTTATTCTAATTATTACTAGTATAAAAAACATTTAAATGCTTTATATTATTTTTATTAAAACCTAAAATAATGTAAAAAATATATTTATTTTCATTTATTATTTTTATTCACATTTAAAAACATTTTCTTGAATATACACATTTTTTATAAATAATTAATTTTTTATCTTTATACATTTAATGTATTTAATACTTATATATTTTATTAAAAAAAGAACTAATAAGAGCAAAAAACATCAAAAAATAATACATGTTTATTTTTATTAATATTACACACCAACAATATCTCTTTACAATATACTTTTATTTTTTTTTACAAATTGATATATATATTTGTAAATAAATAATAAATAATGCTATTTATTTAAGAAAATTAGGGTTTTTGCCCTAAATGAAAAAATAATTAAACTTGACTTTTCCTTTATTTATTTTTACTTCACATATTAAAAACATTTTTTTTTTACATAAAAATCATTTTGTACCTAGTACATTTTATTTGACATTTATTTATTGTATTGTATTCAATTATTGTACATTTAAATATTGTATCCTGTACATTCAATTTGGTTGTAATAGTAATCTAGGGTTTAATTTCTTGTCAAATATTCCCAATTCAAATTTGTACCCCCCTCCCTATATCATGTTGTAATAGTGTAGCATTTAAATTCTCGCACATTTAAAAGCTTTCAATTATGCCATGCTTAGACCTAGGGTTTGTATGCAAATAAAATCAACAATTAGTTTGACCTAATCCAAGATAAATATGCATGAAAAAACAAACACAATGCACACTTGCACCCCTAGGGTTTCATCCACTTGTTGCCTTCAAAAATGGGCCATGGTTGCATGTTGAGTACTTTGACAAAATAAAAACAATAAAAAAGATCATAGTCCCTCGATGACGCTATCTGAGTTGCCTAAACAAAATGATCAAGTCCCTCAAGAAAATTGCCAAAGATACTTGA